TGCCTAGAGCGTTAAGAGGGAAAAAGGAATAGAACCGGATATGACTGAAATGATTAAGCAATTGTCGAGAACAATATGAGGTTTACCTAAGATTGGTTTCTCATGGACAGTTGGAAGTATGATGTTAAATTTGGAAAGGGCCATATTGACATATTCTGAAAAGAGGTAGCTCTTGTTCAGAAGTAATAGTCAAAATGGGAATATGGAAATGTTTTCCATATTGGGAGTTGGATTTTAAGAATCTATGAGAAAGTTAGAAACTTTTATGCAAGAAGGATATTCAAAGGAATGTACTTTTAATGTGAGACTTCGTTTCCATGGAATTGATCTCCATTGGAATACTTTCTAATGTCTGTTGCCAGGTCCTTGTGACTTTTGTGCATAGTCATTGCAAGAGGATCAATGCATATGAGTTTAAAATCTAACAGATTACAGTAAATGACAAGAATTTGATACTCTTACATTTACGGTAAGGATTTGGGATTGTGAAATGAGCATCATTGGAATCATGTTCAATTATCTACTTCACAAAGTAAGGATCATAGACAAACATAGTTTGCATACTTGGAGTATGGCATGACTATTGTTTAGAAAACATAGTGTACATGCTTGGAGCATGGGACAACTATTGTTTTAATTCAAGTGTTAAGTTGATAAATCGAAACAGAATAATGTGTAATCAATATGGTGATGAATAAAAGGTGTTTTATTTATATTCATAAGTGCTGAGACCATATTGGATTCACTTATTCTTGTGTTTCACTTTGCATGTTTTGACTTCCATAATAACTTGGTTATTCTTTCCGAATGACTAAGTTATTTAAACTCTCCACAGTCAGTCATATGTTGGAAGTAGGTATGAATCAAGACTGTCATGAATTGGGCTTGTAGATAACTAAAGGTGTTTAGACATAGCAATGGTTGCTACAACATTCATGAGTGCTCATAAGTTCTGAGTATTGGATTAAACCCACTCTCACTTGTATCACTTCATGGAATTAATCTCGAGTGATCGTGAGACGGTAATATCATATAAGTCTTCAAACCTAGAGTTATGAGTTGTTGCATATGAGTTGGTTGTACATTGATTGCACGAAAACGCATCAGTAACTTGATGTTATAAAACGTGCCTTTGTGTATAATTCAACAAGTAGTAGAATAAGCATATGATTCGAAGTTTATCTATTCCTTCTAGTCCTAGGAGGATTAGAAGCGATATCTGGGCCCCTCGATGATTTTGTTTTGACTTATGTACCGGGCCCAGTCAGAACCTAATTGATGTGTTCAATTTAGTTCTATGTCAAACAAATCGGAAATCGGGAAGCAAACTGCTGGACAATAAGTACGACGTTGTTCCATGTATTTGTCCGGCTGATATCTTGAGAATAGAGGATTATATGATCATTTATCTAAAATGGCGCTTCATAGTTCAACAGAGTTTTGAGAGCTACGATTGCCGGTTGGTTCCTAAAATCATATCTGCAAATATAGTTATTAGACTTATCCAAGTGGGAGACTGTTGGATAAGGTGTCTAAGTCCATAACAATATTTGAGATGCACTTGACCCGACCCGACATGGTCCATTTGGGTTGCACTTCACCCGAACAATTTGTATGGATAATCTTTTGAGAATAGTATGTTTACGATTTATTAATATATTATAAGGTATAATATATTAATATGAAATCATATTATTTAATTAGTATTGATCTTAAATTAATTAAGAATTAATTTAGTGATAAAAAAGGTGACTAATTAAATATGGGCTCTTGTATTTATGTAGCGTGGGCTAATGCTTATTTAGTATGGGCTAGGCTTGCATGGGAGTCCATGGATGGTCCATGGAGCTTTTAACCCATGGATCCTTGGAAAGGAAGGGTCATGGGTATTAGGGTTTACATGGATGTAACCCTAATCCTCCACACTATATAAAGGAGTCTTTTTCAATTGAAATTACACAAGTTGTGTGTGAACAAGAGTGGTGGCAGATTTCAAGAGTGTGCATTATTCTCTCAAGAGTTTTCCAAAGTTTGTGGTGATTTGTGATTTCCATTTGAGGCATCCACACTATTGGTGCTAGGCTCTCAAACTCCAAGCAATCAACCAGTACTAAAAGGTATGTCATTCTAGTAGTAATTTTATGATTCAAGTTCTCCATGCCATGCTAGTTAGGATGTACACCTTGGAAATTCTTATTTGCATGTATTTTAGAGAAAACATAGATCCAAGGTTTACAGGGTTGCATGTACACCATAGGAGTGTTAGAATGCTCAAAACCCAACACTTTTGAGCTAGAGAGTGTGAAAGGAGCTAATTTTGGGGTCTTTTGGTACATTTCTTTTGAAGAGGAAGGGAGGATTCATCAAGGAACAAGAAGGGGGCCAGTGGATCAGTGTTATTTCGAAACAAGAAGGGGGCCAGTGGATCAATGTTATTTCATCCAAGAGCTTCTGGATAAGGTAAAAAGTTCCCACCTTTCTCCTTTTGGTGATTAGATATCATGTTTTGATGAATAGGGCTTTCTATCACCTTTTTTGTTGAGATATGGGTACATGGAGTCCTTTTTCTAGGCCTAGACTTCAGATCTGGACCTTGTGAGGTCCAGAGGGTCCAAAGGTTCAAGCTTTATTCAGTCACTTAAAGAGTTATTGTGTTTTGGTGCCTTGTTGGGGAATGTAATGACATTATGAGCCTTATATGCCATGTTTGAACGTAAAGCTTGCAGCTTTACGTGACAATCGACCCTTAGGATGTTAGATCTAGTGTTTGGAGTGATAGATCTTCCTTAAATCGTCTGAAGGAGGAATCTGATCGAAGGGACTCACCGAGTCCATGGCCTGACTAGACGAGTCGGTGAGGGTTTGTCCCGATGGGTTTGATTGTGCGATAACTCGACGAGTTGGGGGTCAACTCAACGAGTTGAGCTGGACTTTCTTGAGACTTCTGAGGAAACGAGGGGACTCGACGAGTCGCAAGAGTGCACTCGACGAGTCGGGTCAAACATGGACTGTTGACTCGTGTTTGACTTCTGTTGACTTTAGGGTTTGGTCAACATGAGTATTGGAGACCATGGAGGGGTAAAATAGTCTTTTACCTAATTCGAGAGTTAGATAGAGAAGAATAACATTTGGTTAGTGAGAGTCGAGAATCGAGTATTAATTAGAGATATTTACCCTATGTATTAGGCAGTGGCTAGTTTGAGATTTGAGTTCGAGGATAATTGCTTGCTGTTTGCAAGGTGAGTCTTCTCACTATACTTACCTTGAGTGGTACCTTTGTGTGATTGAGCTGTTTATTGTGATTATCTGTGTATTTGATATTCTACATTATGTCTTTGTGATTTATGCTGAGTATTGTTATTATGAGCTTACTGAGTTGGGACCGACTTGATTGTACACACCAGTGAAAGAGTTATGTTTTTGAGGATCCTGGATTTTAACCAAACAATTATGGAGTTGCGAATTGTAAATTAAATAAATGAGGTTTTTTTTGTAAAATGTGTTATGAGAATTATGTGAATTTAAATGAAAATTTTGTTTTGAAAATTTTCGGTGTTACAATTAAGACGCAGGACTCAAGAAGGAAACGATTGTTATGATCGGTTTGAGGATTGCAGTTGGAAGTTGAGTGGTTGATTGATGGACTGGATTGTCGCTATCTATAGCGGAGATTATGCTCTTTCAGTTTTTCAAGTTCGGAGAAAGAGTGAGCAGACTTGTGACTTTCAGAGTTGGGATGTAAACTCAGTATGTGGCCAGTTGGTTGCAGTATTTGGCGACAGAATGGCAGCGTGGGAGCACGCATGAGGATTAGTGTGATATGGATGTTTTGTGATGCGATCAAGAGTCTGTGTTCTTTGGATATAGGCATGTCAGTTACCGGATGGACGGTCGGGATTGCAAGCGAAGAATGTATGTTTCGGATAATAAGTAATATATATATATATATATATATATATATATATATATAATATATATATATATATATATATATATATATATATATATTGCTTTTATAGTAACATTGATTTCACATGTCACAATGGGTTATTTGATTCAATCTTTTATATATAGATATATATATATATATAATAGATTATATAATATATATATATTTTGCTTTTATAGTAACATTGATTTCACAATGTACAATTGGTTATTTGATTCAATCGTTATATATATATATATATATATATATAATATAATATATATCTATATATATATATAGATTGCTTTTATAGTAACATTGATTTCACAATGTCACAATCGGTTATTTGATTCATCTTTTATATATATATATATATATATATATATATATATATATATATATATATATTGCTTTTATAGTAACTTGATTTCACAATGTCACAATGGGTTATTTGATTCAATCTTTTATATATATATATATCTATATATATATCTATATATATTATATATTATATCTATATATATATATATATATATATTGCTTTTATAGTAACATTATTTCACAATGTCACAATTGGTTATTTGATTCAATCTTTAATTTATTTTTTGATGGGGACCAAACAAAACGACGACGTGTTGTGGGTTTTCTCGTCTGAGAGTCTAAGTAAGCTTTTGCTTGATTCACTTGGTGCTTTAAACTAAAGAGTTTGAAACAAGAGGTTTTGACTTAAGGCTTGGATTAGGGAGGGTAAAAGATCAAACAATTACTTTAGCAGATTGAGGGACTAACTTTTAGTCTTTGACCGTTTTGCAATGATAAACTTCAAAATTGATGGTTATTAGGGACTTTTCTTAAATATTGGCTAATTTAAGAAAAACAGTTGTTAATTTGGAGTTTTAGAGAATTTGTTCAATCCATCAATTCCAAAACTCTCCTATACAAACTTAGATTTATGTCATTTGAATTCTAAAACCCTGTTCAAATTCGTTAAAGAATCAAGTTAAAAACATAATAATTATAATTATAACTAAACAAATCGAATTAATTTTGATTCGGAAAAAACTTTTTACATTTAATTGGCGTTCTCTATTGAAGAAGTCAACAATGCTTCCAAATAGTCAACCCCTAAGTCCTCAAACACCACCTTCTCTTCTTCCTTCTTTCTTCTGCTCGTCTTACTCGCAGCTCTTCTCCTCATCAAATGCTTCTTCTTCAACGCCATCACCGGCGATCCACCACTTTCTGCTGCCGGTTTGCTACCCATCATGTCACACAAAGATTCCCTCACCCTCTCTACCGGAAAATTCAAAATCGCCGATGATCCCCTCATAGACAAAGCAGCCTGGTCGTAAGCCAACGCAGCTGCTTCTGCACTATCAAATGTACCCAACCAAACCCTCACACCATTTCTCGTGGAATCCCTTATCTCCGCCGCGAATTTCCCCCAAGGCCGCCGTCTAACGCCTCTGAATGCGGTGACTTTATTGGGTGCTTTCAAAGCTTTTGAGGTAACTTCGTCAGAGGATGTGGTGTCGAAGCCGGTTATCAGGAGGCCAAAAAGAAGCATCTCTTCGGAATCGTTTTCATTGAAGGGGAGAGAATTGGTTGAGTGAAGGCGACTGCTGTCCCCATGCGAGAACTCCAGCGAAGAGCTGAAGGAGGATTCCGGCGAGTGGATGGAAAGACATGAATCCATTTGAGTTTGAGAATTTGTTCCTCTCATTTGCATGTTTATATACCGGCAACATAGAGGGAAGCTTCGAAGCTGTATGGGTGCCTTAAACGAAAAAAAAAATACTTAATATCTTTATTTATTTTATTTATTTATTTTTTAATTTTGAATTATCTCAAAAACATGATATCCAATTCTTATAAAATTTTAACATTATTTTATTTTATTTTTTAGAACGAAGATATGAGATTAAACTCAACAACTCTTTATTATAAATAAATTGTTAGACATATGTGTATGTTTTTAATAGGTTCATGTTTTCAACGGGTGTAATTATATATTATTATATATATATTAAAGTTGTGAAAAATTTTACATCTTTTTTGTCAATTTTGATAACCCTTCATCTTTATGCTTTTGTTCACAAACAACCCTTTCACTTTGGTTTGAATTTTTCATAACCCTCGCCTTTTATTACATATTATTAGTATTTAGTCTTTTGGCAGAAATGGTCCCTCATCATTATTATTATTATTGTTAGACAAAATTACACGATTGGTCACTGTGGTTTACCAGATTTAACATTCTCTTTTTGGTTTTAAATTAATGTTTTATTTATTAGAAAATACCCACCCGATACCATAAACCCACCCACCATCTGCCATCACCACCACCACAACCACCGCCAAAATTACATAAATGGTCCATATGGTTTACCCATGGTGACAAATTCAGTCCATACTACCTGAAAAGACCAAATTACCCTCACATTAACGGACAAAAAACAACCAACATGCTACTTTACTTTACAAAGCAATATCTTCCGACACCGGCAACGCCGGGGAATCTTTTCTAGTTATTAATAAATTTCAGAAGAAAGAAAATAGAGTAAATAATAGTTTTGGTCCCTATGGTTTGTGTTAATTCGCAGGTTTGGTCAAACCTTTGGAATTTTGATAGGACCCGTCCTTGTGGTTTTAAAAAATTGCAGTGGTCATCCTTGAAGCATGCGACGTTTATATTTCATCTATCAAACACCATCACGTGCCCCTCACATGAGGGGCAACTTTGTTAATTTGCTTTTGTCTTCTTCCCAACGTCTATATGAACGCAGGAATCAAAGGTATTTAAATACCATTTCTTTCTCAATAAAGCTTTAGAAAACCCTTTCGAAAATTGAATCTGTGAAAAACCAAAGAATGGTGATATGTGCGTGTGGTCGTCTTGCGATTGTATGCACGTCGTGGACAAATGTTAATCCGGGTAGGTGTTTTTGGGGTTGTCACTCGAATGGCTCACGATGTCCATTTATCGGCTGGTTTGACACGCCGATGTGTTGTAGGTCTGTCGATATCATCCCAGGATTACTAAGGGCAAGAACAACTTGGAAGCTAGTAGAAGGAATTCCAAATACCTATTTTTCCTGTCTTGGGTTTTTTTAGAGTCGTGTTCTTCATGGGTGATGGTAACAATGATGTAGAGTTGAAGTAGGTGAAACTTGTAGTCCATGTGTTGGTTATTTTGTCGGGATCCCTTATTTTGGCTTTTAGATGTGTTTTTTCTTTTGGTAGGATCATTGTGTTGTTTTGTTGGCATTAAGCCATGCTTTTGACTATAATGTTTAAGCAGTAATTTTGTATAATGTATGAGCTTGTTGCATTTTAGACTTGATTTGTGACTGTAATGTTTAAGTAGTCTTTGGTATTAATATAAACGTTTTTTGGCGCAAATGTTGTACAAAATTCCAATCAACACAAGATCAATAAGATCATTAAGTGAAAACTACATTAATCACACCATAACTTAAAACCATAAAAGTGCAAGTATTAATGTTCCTAATACCATCAGTACATGACTTGATCATTACACCACAAAAGCATAGTAGTTAAAAACAATTCATTGCACAAAAAACAATTCATGACCTCATCTACACTCCTAATTCTTTTCTTTATTGGCCTTCCCACCTGAAAATAGATAAACATTAATCTAATTATTTGAACAACCATACTCATAAACAACTAATCTATTTTTTAGTTGATTTTACCTGTTTGTGATGAGTTGGTGGGGTGATTGTTGTTGGGTATGCTTATTTCTACCACATATCTCTACCATTTATAGGATCCACTTTCACTTTGTACATCTTTTGCCAAGTAGAAACCAATAACATTGATGAACCCAATGCTCCACTCTCTCAACAACCTTTCCATTCTGTATCATATCCCAAATTACTGCCACTGCATGTTTATAGGGTATGCCGATCAACTCCCATTTCCTAGAAGTACAAGATCTTTCATTCATGTTAACAACATATTGATCATTCCATACCCCTTTCACTTGGTACTTTTCATTGCTTGCAAAAACTACCCTCATCTGTTGTGCTTTTTCTTTAATTTTTTCTTGTAGTCTTGTCGCAATAGGTGTTAAAGGACCCATACTTTTATCTCTAGCCTTTTGGACATTGCACATTCTCCTCATCAGGTACTCCCTAATGTACTCTAAGGCTGAGATTATTGGCTTATCTCTCCCATCAATCATTTTTCCATTGAAGATTTCACACATATTGTTAAACAACATTTGACAATGAGACATACCTATTACACAATGAAGTGAAATAGCAATACATGGTAATTATATGGCAACATTAAAGAAAAAATACATAATACATCATACTTGTGAAATGACTCCTAGCCCAATGGACTGGTGGAATTTTTTTCAACCAATCATATGCATCTTTATTGAATAAAGATAACTTCTTCATAGCCTTTTCAAAGTGGATTATAGTTGTAGCAGTTGCACAGTTCCATAACATCTCCTTTAATTAATTCCCTCTCCACTTTAGTTTCATGTTTTCATGTATGTGTTTGAGACAAAACATGTGCTCAGCACATGGGAAGATTTTTGCAATAGATGGTAATAATCCATAAATAACAATATAGAGTATTATAATATATCCATAAAAACATATATTGTAACAAAAAACAGAGTACAGAAAGGGTACCTTCTGTCTATCTGAAATGAAGGTAAAGTTGGCTCTTGTGGGTGGGTCCAGATCTTCACCCAAACATTCTAAAAACCATAACCATGACTTCGAATTCTCAGCTTCAACAATTGCATATGCAACATGGGAACATACCATTGTTTGAGTCAACACCAACTGTAGTCAATATCTGGCCTGGGTAAGGGCCTTTAATGAATGACCCATCAAGACCAAATATATCCCTTTGAGATTCCTTGAAACCATGTTTCAATGCACCAAGACAAACATAAATTCTTTGGAATTTCCTAGTTTCCAAATTAATGTTTGGCTGACTTTTAACTTGTATCTTGATTTTCGTCCCAGGATTTGTTGTTTGTAGCTCCAAGACATAGTCCCTAAGCATCGATTATTGCTTCTCATAGTTGCCATGTAGTTGATGTTGAGCTATGGCCTTTTCTCTGAAAAATTTTCTTTTGAAACCCCAACACCATATTTCATATGAAACTCCTCTTGTAAAGCATGTGTTAGACAAGTAGGGTTCATCTCTATTTGTGAAGCAATTTTTTTAGCTATGAAACTCTGTGTGCAGCTCTTAACATCTCTTGTATGCAAGCAATAATTTTTCTCTTCATAAACCTTCACAGTCCAAATATATAAGTCTAATGGCCTAGAAACCAACAAAACCCAAGCACAAGATCCGTTTTGTTTATTTATAGAACTACACTTACCTTTATTACACCCCAACAACCCACTAGAGTTAAATTCTGGAGTAACACCTTTGCACACTACCCTTACCCTTATCTTATCATTTTTTATATGTGTAGGTCCCTCCGAATCTGTAAAGCATGTTCCTTTACCAAGCATGTGACTTCCTTCTTTGTTTGAAAAGTTTGACCCACCATAAATTCACTCCCATGCACCTTACCATCTGAATAATATTTTGGCCTAGTCAAATCTTTCAACAACCTTGCTCTCTTATCCTCTTCATAACCAACAAACTCAATTTTGTCTTCATCAATTACTTCCATCTCTTCTTCCTCATGATCTACATCTATTGGCTTTTTCTTTTTCTTCTTTTCTATCCATTCGACGTTTATATCAACCACACTATGAAATTCTGACATTTCCACCTCATAGTCAACCACTAGGTCTTCTTCATCCATAAGAAAATTACTATCACTGCTAGACCAACCATCATTATCGGAATTAGAACGATCATTCACGTCCATAACATCTTGGTTGTCCAAATGTTCTTCCACATTTGCTCCGTAATCAATGTCACAATTCTCTTCTATATTATCATTGTAAGGCTCATATTCTTTCCCATTATCAAACAATGGATCAAGGAAATCCATTTCAATGCTACTAATTCCTTTATCTTGTTACACCGACTTAGGTTCATTTATAGGTTGTACATGTGGGGAATTTTCAATTGGGTCATAAGTATTGGCTTATTGTTGCTCTTGGTTATTAAAGACAACCAATGCCAATGAGCTTGGATTTGGGATATTGAGGTCAAAATCGATCTTCTTACTACATGAGCCACTCTCTTTTCACCTTTTTCCTACTTGTATGTAATTCTGGTGAAGATTTATCCTCAATATCCTCAATAACCACTTTTGTAAGAGACATCAAATATATATATATATTTAAATTACTTGACCCATGTTCTGAATAAACTCGAATTTCCTCATTCTTTCCAACATATTTTGACAATCTAATGACATCTTAGTTATTACCTGAAGGTAGAAGTCCTCAGTCCAAGTCAATCCCATGAATGCAATAGTGGTAGTAAATACAATCATGTCTACCATATCCTAAATCCTCGAAGATCACATCGAGTTCATGCACTCAGAACTCCTTGATGTCAATAAAGTCAACATAACTAACCTTACCAAGCACGTATCTTCTACCAGGTGCTTTTGATAACACCCCTCTATGTCAAATACGCATTGTTATAATATTGGGCAAACCTTCTGCATAATGGTAAAATAACCTCATATTAAGACCTCAACAAAGAAAAACAATGATCATGAATGATAATTTGAAGAAATATGAATCCTTACCATACACT